CAGGTGACAGTACTTCCATGCTATTTGACCCAATTCCTCCAAATTTCAGGAACATGAACATTTAAATCCATGGCTGCTCCTTCTCAACAGGGTTAGCACAGATGGMAAGCTGCAGATCTGTGCTCAGAACGTGTTTATGTTTTAAGAAAAATGTTGCTCATGTTTGGTTACTGGACTAGCAACAAGAACTCTTGTATTCGAAGGCAAGTTTTATTTATTGGCTTTGTGCCGGGCAGAATGCATCTTGTCTTTTACAGTTTGTTTAGAGATTTTTTAATTTCCTTCTCCTCTATAACTAAAACTCACAGCTAGAAGACACTATTTTTGTATTTACAGCTGCAATCTGTCACAAGGATTAAATGATGGCACTGTCCTTCTGAGCTACCTCACAAGTTCAATGTGAGCAAGAGAAAACAGTAAAATTGTAATTTTGGGTAAACAGAGAAATCTGTGAAGGCCAAAGGCATAGAATTACGTCCCTGGACCCCTGGCAGTGTCCAAGGCCAGGCTGGACATTGGGGTTTGGAGCACCCTGGGACAGTGGAAGGTGTCCCTGCCATAGCAGGGGTGGCACTGGATGAGTTTTGAGGTCCCTTCCATCCCAAGCGATTCCATGATTCTGTGCTTTGTTTCTAAGCAGAAGACCTCCTCCCATACTGGATAAAAAGGAAACACTTCTTTAAAAGGTTATTTCCACCCTGCAGTAAGCCTGGCCCWTCCAGTTTAATGACAGCAATGAGCAGCAGTGACAGGAATTCTGCTCCTGCTCTGCAACAGACCCACAGCTCACAGRAATTAAATGGCAGCATCAGGCCTACACTTTGGTTTATTTTTATAAACAGTTCAGGTTTGKTTTTTTTTTCTTGCTGAAGAAGTGATTTTTTTTGAACACAAAAACCTTCTCTATGAAGAAACTGTCATTTTTTCTTTCTTCACTCAGAAAATCTGACACAGACAGGAAAGTAAAGAGCTCATAGAATGATCAGTCTCTTAAAATGTTTATGTGGAGGCACCACATCCATAACAAAACACGGCATTTCTGACCCACATCCTCCCCGGCAGGAGCCGCCGTGCGATGCCGAGGAGGCTTCAGCCGTCCCCATGTCACCGAAACTGCGGGCAAAACAAAAACTCTCCGAYAACATTTTAACGCTAGAAAGWCAAGGCGTTGCTTTATTTTCTGGCCAGGATGTTGTTCTGGCCAGGATGTGCCACAGAAATAATTTCATCCACACACAGCCCGRGTGTGCAGGGAAAATCATCCCATGTCACATGGATTTTACGAGAAAAGCACAAAAAAWWAMMAMCMWYMAWKG